ACCACTTCCTGTGATGTCTTTGAATATGGCTCGCTGGCCCACTGGGTGATAAAAAGTTCATGATCTGGCCCCACATTCAAAAAGGTTGGACACCTCTGGGTTAGAACATAACTGTTGCTGCTTACTAGCTAATGTCTGTATCTGGTGTTTTGGAACTTTATTTTTAGTGTTCCAGATGTGTTTTTTGTGTCTGGTGTAGGTCTACTAAAGATTTGGTATTGCAGAGGAAACTGATCCTGGAAAGCACAGCTTATTAAAGACAACATTTAACAGATACACAAAATGTTGGCCGAATGGTCAGGCAAATAGAACTTTCTAAACTCACCAATCAAGATAGGAAGGAAGTTAATTTTGTTTTTCCAAATGCAAAGCAAATCAGCTTTTTGTAAAAATAGATACCCCATAATAGAAAAATTACCACTCACATACCACATGTACCTTTGTCCAAAAAATTAGCTGTCGGCACACAGCCAAGAATGCAGCCCGGCAGCTTGGAGAGCAGCCTCCTGCCACTAAGTCTGTGTGGGGGGAAGTAGTGTGTGTGTGTGTGTGTGTGTGTGTGTGTGTGTGTGTGTGTGTGTGTGTGCGCGGGCGGGATACAGTGTGAGGTGAGGGAGGGAGTGGGGCTGGGGCAGGCACTGCCCAGGTGGAGTGGGGCATGGGACGGAGCCATAAGTGGCTCATCCAGAGGGTGCAGGGGGGTGGGAAGGGGGCAGCTCCCCACTGCTGTGTGCACCCCAAGGGAGGCACAGGGGGCATATGCCCCCAGGATTTGTGCATGGGGCGAGGGCAGGCTACTCTCTGTGGGCTCAGGGCCAGGGGCTGCACTAGCCTCTTCCCGATGGGAGGGCTGGGCTGCACTTGGGGCAGGCAGCGGCAGCGCTGGGAGGGAGGACTACAAGGTGGCTACAGCAAATTTTGGGGTGGCTGTAGCCCATCCCATAGGCCCCCCTCCCAGGGCCACCGCTGCCTCAAGTCCACAGCGGGTAGCCCACCCTCGCCCCACACATGAATCTAGGGGGCACATGCCCTCTGTGTTTCCCCTGGGAGTGCACGGAGTGGTGGGGAACTGCCACCCTTCCCAACCCCCTCACTCCCTGGATGAGCCGCCCACAGCTCCATCCCATGTCCCAACCTGGCTGGGCAGCACCTGCCCTTACCCCAGCCCCAATCCGTTCTTCACAATGTGGGCCTCAATCTGCCATGCCCCTTCCCCCTCAAAGACTTACCAGCTGGACAGTGCTCCCCAAGCTGCGGTGCTGCATATCACCAATCAGATCAGTATCGGCCGATATGGCTGGTTAATAATCAGTTGTTGGTGTTCACCAAAGAAGTCTTTATCAGTGCACCCCTAGTTTTCTGACTTGGTAATATTTCTGGTACCTTGGTGCCTATTGAAGGGATGCAGCTATAGTGCTTAAAACCTATCTATATTATACCCGAATGCAACACAGAGTTCCAACTGCCATAACAACCACAGCAGAAGCGTTCATGTTACGGTGCTGTTAGTTCCTAACAAATCTACAAATTCTGCTAAATACCTGTCATCAACAATCTCAGACAGGACATGAAAAAAAGAAAAACAGAGGAGCAATGGCAGTAGACATCCAGTATGAAATGTTATATTCAATGTATTGGTAATTCAGTATACAGTAAATAATTATTATTATTAGGCAATAAGTATGGAATCCCAGTGGAAAATCATTTTTATGTTTGTGAAGCAAATAGGATGTCTAGATTTTCTTTAAGATACTGGTGTGAAAACTGAAAAAAATTTTGGCCTGAATGGAAGAAGTGCTCCATTAGATTCCAAATCACGGCAAAGAAAAACATGTTGGTTAAATACATACATTTAATTTATAATTAAAGCATAAAATAGTCGTGTATGAACAAGCCAAACACTGAGATCTATTTATCAATAAGGAAGAGGACCTAAAATCTGTTAGAAGTTGACATTTCAGAAGATATACAGGAAAAGACATCACAGTCTGAAAAAACCTTCAGAAAATGGGAGACTACCTCTGACTATCTGAAAAGTTTAGTATAGTCTCCATGATTAGTGCTGATTACAAAAAATAGTTTAGTGCAGTTCTTGGTTTCTCCACACTTGCTAAAATAGCCAACCAAGTCCTGTTCATAGGGAGTGTTCCTGTCAATTAGTAAATACATTAAGATCAATTCTTTTAACAGAATCTACCAACAAACCATTACCTATATAAATATTCTGGATGTTATCAAGCTGGAAAAAGGGCACATCCTTCAAACCTTGTAAAACACAGATTCTGAGATCATTGTCTCCTATCAGGAAGAGTTGAGCTACAGAATAGGGGTTTGTCTGCAACGTAGCTGGATTCTCACTGATTCAGGTGTAACAAGATTTGAGAGGGGTAATCAAAATTTTATTAAGAAGAAAAATAATCTTGCTCTTCTGTAAATCTGAGAATCATCATCCAGAAATGCAAGTTTAATTTCAGGCATAATTACCCTCTGTCAGACCAGCCAATAGATACTTTTACATGTAACTATTTAAATTAACATTTTAATGCTCCTGCACATTTAATCACTGACCTTTGAGTAGCTGTTCTTGTACAGTGAAACTTATACAGCACCCTCATTTCATACCTTGCCATACATGGCCATTTTATGCTTTAATTTTAAATTCAATTGTAGGGTTGTTGGTTGTAACCATGCTGGTCTAAGGACATAGGAAGACAAATTAAATGTACTCATTTAACCAATATGCTAGTCTGTAGAACCTGTCCACTGAACAGCTGTTTTCCCCGGCTGAGTCCAGCTCTGGAGCTCCCCCCACCTGTCCACTGGGGACAGCTGCAGCAGGAGGGGATGTGCCACTGAACACAGAGAGGAAGGTACTGGCTGCCAGGTACTAAAAGTCCCCAAGCAGTTAAGAATTCCCTCTTCCCTTCTTCTCTGTGTTCAGTGGTACATCCTCGCCTGCTGCTGCTATCTCCAGTACACAGGCAGGGGGAGTTCCAGAGCTGGGTCCCTGACTGCTGCCCCAGTAGTGTAGTCTGCCCATTCCAGTGGGGCTAAGGAGGCTGAGTGAGGGGTGCAGCCTCCTGTAGGACTGCTCAGTGCTCCTGCACTCTCATTTACACAACCTTGAATCTGCCTATGTTCGCAGACGGGGCTGTATTAAGTATGGTCTAAACAGGGACTACAGATTTTTATCCCATTACCTGAATTATCTTTTGTGACCCCTTTATCTCTGTGGGTTTATCATTTATTTGCCTCTGTCAGTACTGCCTGCTCCCTCCCTCCTTCCCTCTGTCTTCCCTGTCTTTTGTATTTAAATCACTCTCCTTATTTGATAGCTTGTTCTCTGCATATCCTTCCATAGCATCTGATGAAGGCAACTCTTACTCATTAAAGCTTATCCATCTCTGATTCAGCTAGTTACAAGCAGGGATCCAGGTTTTCTATTTCCTACAGAAAAATGGAGTAAACCGTGGATTTTACCTTTTACCAGAGGCAAACACAGATTTCTCGTTTTACAAGAGAAACCTGCGGATTTTGCCATTTTGCAATGAGCTCCGTGTAGGCTGGCAGAGTTCCAGCCTGCAGGGAGCTGGAAGGGAGCGGGAGGAAGGTGGAGAGACGGCGTCACCATATGCACAGACATGCACATGGCCCCAGGCAGCTTGCAGAGCAACTTCAGCAGGGAAGGGCGGGGGAGAGGGATCTGGGCAGTTTTGGGGCCGTGGGTGGCTCATCTGGGGGAGGGCCAGCTCCCTGCTGCCGCGCGCACTCTTAGGGGGCAGGGGGACCTATGCCCCCCTGATCTGTACCCGGGGCAGGCACAGGCTGCGGGCTTGGACTTCTGCCCTGCTTCTTTCCTCCAGGGTCTCTGGAGCCTGGCGGGCATGACCTGGGGCAGCTGGGGACAGTGGGGCCACACGGGGATCTCCTCGCTACTGCTTACCCCCCAAACCCTGCTGCCCTGGTGATGCGCCTCCAGTGCCTGCTGCTGCTTTGAGGGGTGCAGCCCCGCACTGCTGCCCTCACTGCGGCCCTGTGTGCAGGAGGCGCATCGCCAGGGCAGAGGGGACAATGGGGGTGGGGAGCAAGCAGTGGTGAGGAGATGCCCACATGGTTCCACTGCTGCCTGCCGTGCCAGGTTGCACTCGCCGGGCTCCGGAGGCCCCGGAGGAGGGAAGCAGGGTGGCAGGGAACAGCGGAACCATGTGGACAAGCTGCCAGCTGCTGTTCCCTGCCACAGAAGGCAGCAGTGGAGCCACGTGAGGATCTCCTCGCTGCTGCTCACCCCCTGCCCCACTCCAGCAATGCACCTCCTGTGCGCGGGGCTGCAGTGAGGGCAGCGGCACAGGGCTGCGCCCCCTCAAACGCAGCAGCAGGCGATGGACGTGTGT